GGTCGCCCGCCGCCTTCGGCTTCACCGGTCCGCCAGCCGCGCCCGGTAGTGCGGCGAGAGCCCCCCGGTGACCGCGGTGCGGGATGCTGCCTGCCAGCCCGGCCGCTCGCGCGCCCTCCGCCACCCCTGCCCCTGCCTCCTGGGCCATGCCCCGCTGTTTACATGCAGGTGAAGCCCCCGGCCACTCCGAGCCGCTCCGAGCCCCGGCTCCCCGACGGTGAAGCCAGCCGGCCCGCGAACTGGACTGGTCGCTCAGACCTGGGCCCTCCGGACTTAGATCCCCGCCTGCTCGGCCGCCTTCGCCACCATCTGGGCGGGATCCGGCTCTGATGTTTTGAGGAGGGGGTGTGGTGTAGGGAAAGGAATCCTGGGGATTTCTGGCTTCCCCCCCTTTTTTGGCCTTCGGGGCTTCAGACTCAGGGAACTCGCTCATGGCTTTCTTGATGAAGAAGAAGAAATTCAAATTCCAAACCACTTTCACCCTGGAGGAGCTGACTGCGGTCCCCTTCGTGAACGGAGTCCTCTTCTGCAAGGTCCGGCTGCTGGATGGCGGGGATTTTGTCAGCCTGTCGTCAAGGTAGGAGCTGGGGCAGTCGCGCCTGCGGGCGGGGGGCGGGGGGGATGATGAGTTAGATCTAGCCACTTGGCACGTGGAAGCGCCCCTGTGGGCCCAGAGAGTCCTGGGGATTATGTGTGTCTGGGGCAGGTTTGCACAAGGCAGGGCTGAGTGATCTGGGAGGTCTGGGCCTGAGGAAACTGGCAGGGTGCCGGGCTGCAGGTGACCAGCTGGATAGGTGGGGGTTCGTTCTTTCAGCCCCCTCGTGGGGCCTTGCACACAGGCCCATTCCTCAGACTTGCACAAAGAGCCCACCAGCATTTGTGCCTGGAGGGGCTGAGACGGGGAGGAGTATTCCTGGCCACCTTGCACCCAGCTGGCCGCTTGGGCTGTCATATGATTTAGAGCCTGGGCTAGCCACTGGTTCCCAGGCACCCCCGGCCTGGCTGGAGGGAGGTGGCTGGATTTTGGCCTGCCCAGCCCTCTCTGAGTGTCCGTCCTCTTCTGGCTGTGGCTGGGCTGCTTTGCATTGCAAATGCCCTTGTCAAGGAGGCTGCCACCCTCCCTGAAAGAGGCTCAGTCCAGTTTGGTTTATGGATTCTTCCCCATCCTGCAGGTCCAGCTGTCCAGCTCATTGCCGAGGGTGACTGAGTTCCTGAGCTGCACCCACTGACTGTGCCCACCTGGGGTCACATGGTTGGGGCTTGCTGGGGGGAGAGTGTCTTGGAGTCTGACAGATGGGGGTTCAAGTCCTAGCTCTGTCACTTTCTGGGCCCAATACAGGTCTCTGTCAGAGTTGTGGAGAAGTTTCAGTAGATAGAATGCAGTACAGGGCCTGGCCCAGTGCCTAGGACATGCTGGTTCCCTTCCCTGGTCTGTCCCTTTGCTCCTCAGGCCTCCTTGTGGGCCCAGTTAGCTGGAGCTGCCTCACAGTTCTGAGTTGGAGAAACTGAGGCCCAGAAAGAGGAAGTAAGTGGCTTTCCAGGAACCTCACAGGAGGCAGTTGTCAACAGAACTTGGCCTATTTGGAGACCTGTTGGATGAATCTGGTGGTCTGGGAGGACGCCGGCAAGGGGGTGGGGGGTGGGTGGGCATACAGCCTAAACCAGATTTAGGAATCTCTGGTGCAGACAGGGTGGGGTGCCTTTTCTCTGCACTTGGGCCCACTCAGGCCTGGAGGCTCCCCAGTCTGCTGGGAACTGCTTATCTGAGGAATTCAGAGAAAGGCTGCCCTTTGTTGTGGGGGCTGGTGGCAGTCCTCCGCTGCCTGGGAAGGCTGCGATCCCGAGCCCATGGCCACCCACAGAGCTGCCCAAGGTTTTGGGGAAAGGTTGTGCTCAGAGCTAGGGTCTGGAGTCAGCCACTCACTGACTGGGTGACCTTGGGCAAGTTACCTAAACTCTTGGATTCCAAGAACCGGCGACTGTTGGTGAGGTGCTTCCCATTTTACTAGCACTTCTTCCTTAATTCCTGGACTATGCCATGGAGTGGGGTGGAGGTGTGGGGGCGGGAACTGTAGGATTATTATCCCCATTTTACAGAGGTGAAAACTGAGGCTCAGGGAGGGAGTGATTTGCATGAGCTAATACAGCAGAGCCCAGATTCCCTCAGGGTGTGCTTTTAACCACTATCCTGTTCCACCTTTGAGCCTTCGTTTACTTGTCTGTGAAATGGGAGAAGTCATACCTGCCCCTAGAGTTGTGAGGAGAATGGATAATGGCTGTGCCACGTCTGGCTCAGGCAAATTGTGCAGCAGTTGTGGTTACTCTGGCAGAGGGGTCCAGGCCCCAGGCCTCCCACTTTTTTTGGAGGGACCAGCCAGAGTCAGCAGAGGGCCCACCCGTGAGCTAGGGGTGGAACAGGGTCTTAGATCCCACTGAGGAATCTGTATCTAGCCCCAGACTGAGGCCTCCTCCCAGGCACGGGGGCCACTGTCACCCTACCTGTCAGCCTTTCCATTGCCCTAAACCTGCCCCCTCATCTGGGAAAGTCTGGAAAGTTCCAGGTTTTGGCCCACAGTGGATTTCACCTTTGCCTCCCCTTCTTCCCTCCTGGCAAGGGGCCATGGATTCCCTGAACCCAGCTGATCCCAAACAGCCTTTCCCAGCCCTCATCCTGGTTGAAACCTGACAGCGTTGTGGAGGGAGGAGCTGACATTGAGCCCCCAAGGCTGGGCACTTAGTGGGCTCTGGGTACCTGTCAGCTGCTGGGCAGGTGTGGCTGGAGGGAGCACACAGGGACATTGGGACCTGAGGCTGCTTTAGAGCTGCTTTGGCTTTTGCCCAGGAGTTAGGGGTTCCTGGGCTCCTACCTCCTCCACGCCCATCCCGCCCATCCTGTTCTGCAGCCTGGGAGCCTCGCCTCACAGCCCACCTCTCCAGATGGCCAAGGCCCCGTTGTTTTGGAGTTGGGGTAGGGTCAGGGGTGATGACACCTGCTTAGACCTTGGGCCCAGATCCAGTAGCATACTCTTCCCAACCCCAGGGATCCCTGGGATGGCCCAGAGACTGCTGGTGGCCACATGGGTGTTGTCTGAGTAAAGCAGGCCTGAGGCCCCACCCCTGCAGCACCCGCCTTCCTAGCTGGAGTGTTTCCCTGTGTTGGGTGCCATGGCAACAGCCGGGTACACAGCTCCAGCCTGACCCAATTTGAGCAGGTAGAACAGGTGGTATATCGCGCTGTTCCCCAGCCTCATCTTTCTGAGGCCTCCTTACAAACCATAATCCTCACAGCTCCCGTGTTCCGAGGGCCCACGCTCTGTGCCAGGGTTTTGCAAGTGGTGTATCCATTAATCCTCTTGGCCCTGGGGATGGGGGATGGGGGGGGGCGCGCCGAAGCCAGAGAGGTGAAGCCATATGCCAGACGTCACCCAGCTGGTAATGTAATTTGGAAGATAACCTTTTTATCATTAGGGTTTAAACTGCCTTGATGTGCACTTCCTGAATGCTAGGGACCTGCCGAGCACCTCGGACGTGTGATCAGTTGAGCCCGGGAACCACTCCGTGAGCTGATGAGGACACTGGGCTCAGGAGAGCCGAAGCGATGGGCCCATTTCTCTCAGCTAGGGAGTGGCAGGGCTGTGATTTAAACTGGGCAGGCCTAGCTCCAAAGTCCTGCCTTGCCTTGGTGGCAGAGGGCTGGAAGCAGCTACAGCCCCATGGGATGCCCCAGACGTTTGAAGAAGGTTCTTTTTATTGGGTGGGGTGGTGCAGGAAAGTCATTTGAATACTTTGGAGGCATCAAGCTAGATCCTGAGACAAAGGGGCCCTAGGGCCACAGGTGGGGGTGAAGCTGAAATCACTCCCAGGGATTTGGGGCCAGGCACAGGCTGGCCCGGGGGTACATGGTGTTTGCCAAGGTCCCTGCTTGGGGGCCATCCAGGCACATGCATCCACATGGCATCTGGGAGGCTTTCCCAGGGGTCCTGGGAGGGAGGCAGACGTCCCAGCCAAGTCTGGTGAGTTGGGAGGCAGCAGGCCGGGCATTAGTCTCTCAGGGCAGGCTGGGTGCAGGCTTCCAGCTCTGAGCCAATCTATCCTTCAGGCAAGAAGAATCCCAAACATCCCAAGAGGTCTCTGTGCCCCACTGGCATGAGTCCTGTGGCCTGGCCCATGCACGTGCTGGTGGTGCCAGGGGAGGGAGCGAGAGGGAGGCGTTGATGTACCTTCTAGCAAGTCCTCTCAGGAGGAGACTGGCGGCCAGTGCGGTAGGGAGGGCCTGGTGCAAATGAAGATGGGGGGTGGCCAGGCCGGACCCCTCCTGGCCTTGGGGGCCCAGCTGAGGGGCAGGGGGGCAGTGTGGCCTGGTTTGCCCATTAGGAGGATGGCTCTTGGCTGCTGAGTGGAGAAGAGGCAGGGAGGCCTGACCAGCACCTCGTAAGGGACAGTGGGAGTTGGCTGGGTGGGTTTTGCCAGCGTGGCTGCGTGGTGACAGTCAGAGGGAGAAGAGCGGGCAGCCTGGAGAGAAGGTTGGCAGGCAGAGTGGGCAGGTGGGTTTCCCGGTCCTGACGCGCCTGGCACCACACCTAGTGCTTAGTGGCTGCCAGAAGATGGAGGTTCACTGGGTGCACAGTGGCCAAATGTAGCGAGGATTTTGCTGCCCCATACTGTGCTCTAATAGTTTTTGACAGAATAAAAATCTAGACTTTTGGTTTCTTTTAGACTGGGTATCCGGCCGCAGTGCACATGGCAGCGTTTGTCCCCAGGGGCTTTGCAGCTGCCTTCTCCGCGGGATGCCCGCTCTGGCTCCTGACCCCGCTGCACACCTCTGGATCTCCGCCATAGTCTGCCTCCCTCGTTTTACCAGGTCCTGCCTGGTCCCGGGGGCCCCTGTGGAATGCCTTCCGCGTGCAGGCTGAGCAGACAGACAGCCGTGCAGCGAAGTCCTGCTGGCAAGCTGCAGAGGCCACCGCAGGCAGCCAGGGGGGCACCAGGCCAGCCGCTGGGTCCCTGTGGGGTCAGACTGTGCTGCTAGTGCCCGTGGTGAAGCCTGAAGCTGCCCAGCCTGGGCCTGGCCTTGATGTCTGCTCCTTGGACCTGGCCTTGGCCGCCAGCTGGCCACACCTTTGGCAGATGCCACCCTGGCAGGCCCTGCCACCTGTCTGCCAGCCTACCAGTGGCAGAGCCCTGACCTGAGGTGATCTGGTTCTGTGGAGGCAAGGCTATTCCCTGAGGCCCGTTCCTCCCGTTGAGCTCTGTCCTGGGAGCCACTCTGGCCACAGGTTCTCAGCAGCAATGACATCGTGTGTGTGAGCGCCCTGAGTGCCCTTGAACTCTGCTTGCTCAGTACCCGGAAGTCCCGACTCACATTCGGGAAGCCGTGCTGAGCCTTGTGACGGCTGCTAGTTGTCTGCTCTCGTGTCTCAGGAGCCTGGGGACTGTGTGTGTGCAGTCTAGTGACTGCCGTGTGGTGACCCTGCGGTCACCTGCCTGTTGCTGGGGATGGGCAGTCTAACACCGTGGCAGCCGGGGGAGGTTTATCTTCATGCTGCCAGACAGCTACGGCGAGGTTTGAGCAGGGGG